TCACTCCCGACTTGTCGGCCAATTGTGCCGGACATTGGAATCTCGTGAAACACGGCAGTTTACGATTAGAAGTACGCTTTGAAAAGCCGCTAACCACGACCATTAATTGCATCGTTTATGCAGAATTTGATAACGTGCTCGAAATCGACTCCTCTCGACAAATCATCGTCGACTTCGCCGGCTAAATCACTACGCCGACGACTACGCCGTACGACGACGAAGAAGACGATGGAAAATTCTTTCCCCCCACTACATATTGTTTACCACTGTTTCTCCCCCAAAAAGCAAAGTTTTTCCCCCTCACCGAGAGCATACAACAAACGCGAGGCAACGAATTCAGTTTCGCTCGAGACACTGACGTTGACGCCTCGCTCGAAAAAAAAAGAGCATAGTATTCGACCATGGACGTAGTGATCGAGTTGCAAGGTTTCCGTGATATCGACAAGAAGAAATTCATCGCGAAAGAAATCGCACTTGTCGCGATTCAGGAGCCGATCATCGGACACTGGATCTTAACGCCACCTTATCCGTTTGAAGATTTACCCGAGAGATCGAGGCTAGAAAACAATTGGCTCTCGAGAAATTATCACGGCATCGAGTGGTTCGACGGTGAAACCAATCTCGAATGTTTCACCCTACATCTACGACGAATCACCCGACTAGCACGCAACATCTATACCAGGGGGCAGGAAAAAGCTCATTACCTGCGTCAATTGCTCTCCAGAAACATATATAATCTGGAAATAATCTCACCGCCGTTCAAAAATCTGCCCGAGGACGGAGAGTGCGGAAGACAACGCTGCGCGCACCACGCGCTTCAATTCCTCCCCAGTGACCGATATAATTGCGCGTTACGCAACGCCTGCAAATTGAAACGCTGGCTGATCGTGCGAAACGCCGATGTACGGCCTAGCGACGACGCGCAGCTCAAAAGCCGAGGCGAAGCCGACAAAACAGAGAACGACTACGTTCCTATGAAGAGTAAAAATTTCAACGGCGACGCAACGAAAGAAGAAGAAGAAGAAGAGCCGCGCCACCACTCGGCGAAAGCCTATTACATGCCGAGCGTCAAAAGAGAATATCTTTCGACGATCGACAAGGACCGCAACGCCGCACAAACCACCTTCTCGCTATCGGCAGACGACGGCAACGGCTCGACAACGAGACCACTGGCGACAGAGGTAAACTCCGACGTCCTACAAATAATCTCTGCGCTGCGTAAATATGAATTCGTTGGAAATCTTACAAGCACTGGGCCATCTGCGTGTCAGATATGCGGGAGTCTATCCTGCCGACAGACTGCCGAGGGTGTGGACGAGGTCGACCGCTATCGTCGCTAACACAGACAACCACGATCAACCTGGCCGGCACTGGGTCGCCTTCTACGTCGACGAACACGGCACCGGAACGTATTTCGATAGCTACGGACTCCCCCCTTGGACCCCAGATTCCTCCTACGCCTACGTCGAAACTCCACCACCCACCGATGGAACACCGCCACCCTGCAAGGAATACTCTCTCAAACCTGCGGACACTACTGCTGCGTATTTCTATATTTTATGTCTAACGGTTATAATCCTGGGCAGTTTCTTAATCTATTTACCGATGATTGTGAACGCAATGACCGACTGATTGTACAACTATTTCGTAAAATTTTTCTTTACAATAAAAACGAATGCGTAAAACCCCGTGCTGCATGCTGTAATGTTCAATCGTGTAGTATTAAAAAATCGCGACTCTTATAAAATCATCGTATGTACAATTTCCCAACATGTTCATGCGTACATAATTACATTCTCTTAATAAAAGCTTATGTAACCCCGACTCTCGTCTACTTCTTTCACCCTGCGACCTTCTCTCTCGTAATTTCAATACCATTGCGCATAACAAAGAAACCTGTTCATTCCTGTTTTCCTCCGGTCAAACGCCCTCCCCCTCACGGCGCCATCGGACCCACGTTAAACGCACGACATAGCACCGCTCCCAAAGAAACCTGTTCATTCCTGTTTTTCCTCCGGTCAATTCCCCTCCCCCCACCTCACGGTACCATCGGACCCACGCTAAACGCACGACATAGCACCGTGCCCGTATTTCCCTCTCCCCCGCTGGGAAAACTTCTCATTTCCACCCTACTTGCCACACCATTTTTCTGTCTGGCCCACACGCCATCTTGTCGGCCCCCCTCCGCGTTTCCCTCTCCGCGCAAAGGAAAACTTCTCATCTCGACCATACCAGCCACGATCACACACACCCGCGCCATTTTTTTTTGCCAGGCCCGCACGCCATCTTGTCGGGACCCTATTTTGTTGCCCTT